GGGGGGCACCGCCTTCGTTTTTCTTTCTTTCTTTTCTTTTCTTTTTTATAATTTGCAATAACATAAGGGAATACATAACAATTACGAACAGTACACTATTTAGACTACTTTCAGCACTAGTTCTATTTACATTATATTGCTCTAATAATTTACACTACTTAAATTACAATATCTACACGACTTACAGTACACTACTAACAACTACCGTGACGACAAGGGACAAAGAAAAACAAGACGAAAAATAGATAAAAACTGATTAGTAAAAAGAGTTTAACCCCAGAGTCAAGTCAAAAGAAGTGGCTAGAGGATTGTGGCCTACCAGTAAATCACAACATAAATCGGACGCTGCCTATGTTTTAGCTTAGCAGTGCACAAAGAGCGCTAAGCTGATAGAGTTTCAGTTTAAATTCTTACATAGACGTGTACCAACCAATAACTTCTTATTTAGAATAGGTCTACACAGTGATGAAAATTGCAGTTTTTGTCACACCTCCTCTGAGTCAATAATTCATCTTTTTTGGTCATGGCGCCGAACCTCTCACTTTTGGAATAAACTTACTGAATGGCTGAAAAACTTAAATTTACTTCCTAGAGATTATGCTTTGACAAATATTACTGCTCTGGGTCTGAGGCCAGATATCTCTCAATTTTCGCTTCTTATCAATTACTGCTTTCTCTTAGCACGATGTCACATATGGCTCGCTAAAACAAAAGATGATCATCCAAATCTTACGCATTTCACATGCACACTAAAATCACAATATGAAATAGAAACAAAAAGTGGAGACACAAAGAAATGGAAACCTCTTACAGGATATATGAGGATTTAATTAATTTTTTAGCGCATATTTTCTATTCCTATCTGTAGTTATCTCCTACCCATTAGTCTATTTCCAATTTCTTGTCGGGTGCATAACTCATTTTACCTATAATGCACCACATACCTTTGGTCTGTTTTTGATGTTTCTATAGTACAACCTCAAGCTGCAATGATAATTACCGACTTTGTTTTGGAGAGAACATGCCCGGAAGAACATCCTCAATCTGAAAAAAAAAAAAAAAAACGGACCGCGTTAGCGAATGAGGCCACAGTGTTTGTAAGCCCCAAAATATTTCAGTTAGATCTTTCAAGTGAAATGTTCCCTGCCAAATGTTTTTTAGCGGTGGACATATTAAGTGAATTTAGTGAACTGGTGTGGTTCCTTAAAAAACAAATTCGCATTTAGCGACCATAATTTCACGCGCCTTGGAGCCGCAAGATGACAGGATTCGATTTCCCGTGGACAGAAATTTTTTTTTAACTTCCCACATTGATTTTTTTCATGTTTGGACAATGTGGAGATAAATTGTAAATAAAATCTGTTTCTAGAAAGAAAAGTAGGGGTCACCGGACGTCCAAGATCGTTAAATCCAGGCAAAGCTATAGCGATGGCCATCTTCCCTATCATTGCTTATTTTATGACTTAGCGAGCGCTCTCATGCATGACGTGGCGTGTAAATTTGGGTGCGCAATTATGATGCGCAGAAACAATTGGCGCGAACGTCCTTAAAACTAAAAGCAGGGGAAACTAGAGACCACGCTTACAACCGAAGTGGCTAACTAAGACTAGTGCGCCTTACGACTCAAGACCACGTGACTGACTCTCGTGTCTCGCGGACAAATAGATAAATCCGATCATGACATAGTGTCGCTACACACTTCGTTTAAGCCACACAAGAAATGAAAAATATGAAACCGTTTGTTTTTCCAAGCTTCTAATTTGGCGCCAAAAATGGATCGCCGGCATAAAGTCGCTCGTAGTTCGTCAAGTGTCGCCAGTTAGGATACATGCTGTTCCTCGTCAAATTAAACCCAGCATTCTCAGGTTAACTATTAGATGAGGCCAAAGCAACTTTAGCATAATGCCTTTATTTTTGTTAGCTGCGAAAAGAGAGAATATTATCGTGTTCTGTAGGACAGATAGGACAGCTCAGTTTTGACTGCTGCTCGTACTGCGGGCGCAGCCGTCGTATGCAAGGATGGTCGTGTGACGGTGACATGGGTCTTCAAAGTGGCCTATATTGATCTTTGGTACCTGTTAACTTAACAACTATATAACATTTCAGTTATTATAGGAACAGTGCACTTATCATCACTGGCTAGGTAAGGTAAGGGTCTACCATGATAGTTATTAGTGGCACGCATCTTTCCCAATAGTTTCGTTGAATCCAATTAACTCAAATGACCTCGTCTCGTGATGGTTGGCTGTAAAAACGCACCCAGCAGGTCCCTCCCAAAAGCACCATTTTAGCACCACTGACCTACCGTGCCATGCACCAAAAACCTACTTATACGAAAGCGAATCTTTCATTGTAACCACCGTGCCGAAACAAATCATGTTTGTCTCAGCTAAAACGGCTGAAAAAGTTCATTTTTATAAGAAATGGCAATGCTCTAAATACGATTTCTTAGAAAATATATAAAATCTATAGCTACATACGTCAAAAATGCGTCAATTGTATCTCACTGTAAATACGAAGAGATTTACTTCTTGCAAATTATCTTTCTTTATTCGTCTTGAATGCCTGATTTGTAGGAAGGCCTTAGAAGATGAGAGATGCTGTTCTTCATGTTATTTTGGTTTGCTTTGGGGTGATATCAGGTACTTGTATAAGCGCTATATATGCTCTGGAAACTTCATGAACGTCATACTCGTTTACTAACTCCCAATAAGTAATCCATGTTGCTGTCGTTTTTTACTGCCCCCAATTTGTAAATATATTACCCGGATTGCTCTTCATTTGGAATGAGGCTGAACATTCTTATTTTTTTAACAATTGAAACCTAAAACTGTAATTTCCTTATGAATTTGAAATTTAAGGCTATGCATGGTAAAACACCATTCACGAACTATCAGGTGTTGTCAGCTAGTGCATGGCAGAGAGAAAAGAAAACATTTCTTTGCAAAATTTTTACCTTGGAACTTTTGAATTTTTGATATTTCTCAGTCCTTACAATTTCCTAGAAACGATTAACAAAACAAAGCTTTAAAACCATAACTACAATGGAACGTTAGATTAACGCCCATTAATTCGACCATCAGCGGGTACTAACATCTGGTCACACAGCAAAACCCCGCCTTACACCACTTCATAAATTGGACAACCAGCTATTTCCTTTCTTTTACGATACCCCGGCCCTAACATAATGCGACCACCCCGTTATACGAACAGTTGAGCGCAGTGGAGTGTCGGAGGGGTGGTCACATTAATAAAAAGTTTCGAGGCCAGTCGTTATATTTTGCTTAGCCAGGATGGGAAGCGCGATTCTAATATAAAACCAGCTTTAATATAACGTCAGACACTTAAGCAGCCACTATTAGTGTTATAATGCTGGCAACGAAGGAGGAATAGTTTATTGAATGTGTTCCTTTTCTGCTATTAGGGGGTTGAGGTTTGTTGCTTTTTTTCATTGACAGCTACATATATGGACGGTTTTAACCCACAAAAGTTATCAAAATACTAATTGACCAAGCAGTCGTTGTTTTCTTTCTCTCTTAGCTCAGGATTGGAAACATGTTGGAAACTGTGGAGCTGGATTGAGTAAGAAATCGTTTAAAACACTTTTTAACGAACTATTTTGTGGGCTAAATCTTAACGCAGCAGGTAGCGGACATATTTTAGGTGGATGATCCTCACGGCTCCCCTCTCCCACCAGCCCTTGGAATACACGCACAAACCCAAAAACATACCAAAGATAGTTCTAGTTAGGTG